GCAAATGACATAGGTTCTCTCTTTAATAGCACAAGTGAGCCAACCCGATTGTGAGACATGAGCAGGGATTTACCAAAGGGCAAGTTATTAAGTTTCTCTAAACTTTTGCCCGTTCTCAAAGTTCTCACTTTGTCTGTTTTCGAACATGGGTTGAAGCCTCTATGGACCCAGTCCCCATCACAGCATCAGCAAACTGACCCAGAAATTACTTTAGACAAGATCGAATCATTGTAATGTTTTTATTTTTTTTCCAGCTATGAAACAGTTAATACTTAAAATGCCACGGTGGGCAAGAATGACACATATCGGCACTGTGTTGGGGGGTTTACAGCAAAAACAGAGCGGATTAAAGTCTCAGACAATGTCCATGTGAATCCTGCTTACTCATACGACATCTGAAGAATGAAACAAACCTCAGCAAGTCTGCAACAATTTGGAACATATGAGAAGCAAAATATTACAAATATTATTATATTTTTTCCATCTTCAGAAGATCAGTTCCAACTGTCAGGTTTTTTTTAAGTGGGAAAATCCATTTTAGTAGCAGGAAGGCAGTTACAAGCCAGTTTTTATTGTCTGTCTGGGCAGTTATTAACTGCAGGCAGAAAATAAATCAATACGATTACAATGCCACTTACTTGCATGTTGTCCTGTCTTTGGGGACATTCGTAATGCCTCTAAAAAATCTGATTTGTATAAAACGTGTTCTTGTTTTTGTTAGCGGGAGTCCTGGGTAAATGTGCGTAGCCATTTACACAACACTTCTGTGCCATTACAAATGTACATTTTATGATCTGTTTAAATGCCCTCCAGTTAAATAGCCGTCTCGTCTCATAAGAGTTTTAGTTTCTATTCTAAACACACCTTACTAATAAAGAACCATCTATGCATGTGAATTAAAGTAGGCAAAATGAAAAAAATATACAGGACATGTTTTAGAATCCTGTGCATAAATGATCACATGTAGACTTGGACATTCGGTTTGTCCCTAATTTTGGCCAATCTTGTGACTTATTAAAATCCTAAACAGGATGTATGACCAAACTAATTAACAAACAACTTGTGCATGTTTGTTTTTAGTTATGATTCCATCTATGGTGCCAAAAAAAGTAATGATTTATGTAGAAAAAAAGATGATTGATGGCTTGGGTGCATGTACTGAATGTTCATTTTAATCACAGATCGTGTGAGAAGTGACCAATAGAACGGGAAAAAAGGAGAAACAAAAAAAGAAATATATTCTATATTTATACATTATATATTCAATTAACACATAATATAAAAATAAATATAGATTTCTTTTTTACTTTTCCTTTTTCCTTTCTTTCTTCTGTAAACCAAATGGTGTGGAAATTAGGCCATCAGTGTATTGCAAAATATATACATAACATTTATATTATTTATATATGTTTTACAGTACATATACTGTCCCATTTTCGCATCCCTTTGGGTGGTCTGCTGCGCTCTCATTAATATTTTTCATGGACAAAATTTGGACGAGCCAAACCACCATTTAGATGAAATTCTACCATGTTGATAAAGTTTTATATATATATATATATATATATATAAATATAATATTTTTTTGTATGGAATGGCTTAGCTCAACTGAATTTGCCCACTGTGCACAAGCCTTGTGACATAATGCCTGCAATTTCACCAGGCAGCAGTGAGCAAGGTCCGGATCACCTCCGTGTTTGGAGGTCTATATCAGACGCAGAACTGGGACATACAAATGCAAGCTATACTCCACAAGACAGTTACTGCTATTTTAATTTGGCTTGTTCCTGATCTGAATGGTGGCTGGTTATATATATATATTATTTTATATTGACCACCCAGTACTATGACTCCTACTAAAGCCAGGCAGCAGTGCAACATGTATGTTCCAGTGTTGCCCTAAAACTAAATATCTTCCCTGGACCCTTACACTTACTGGACAGGCTACCCCTAGCCCCAACATGAAAACTTCAAAATTATGGAATGATAAAGATACCTAGCAGAGAAAAGTGTATTAAAGGAAAATAATGTCATCTTTGAGTTCAGAAGAAAATTTATAAACCACTTATCCCTGGGTCCTGTGATTTATTATCTGCCGAAGCCCTCACTGGCAATATTTTTCTATAACATGCAATGCACGGTTACTTTTTCTGTAGATCATATAGGTGTATATGAATACACACATTTGTTTTACAGTTTATCTAAACCTTTCATTAGTTCTTTTTATTTTTTTATTTTTATTTTTTTGCTTTGTCTTTAACGCCAGCTTCAGTAATCTGTTGCGTCCCAGGTTGAGAACAGAATGGGTGCGGCATATCTCATCCATTCTTTCATCACCCTGATCTCGTTATCACGCGTTTATCCCTGAACACATGGATGTCTACTGTTAGTCCTGCTCCTGTGCAAAAAAAGGCTCAACTTGCCTACCCCTAGAAAGGTTTTAAAGCAGAACGATCACATGTGATATTTTTTGCATAAACCATTTCTCAGTCAAGTCTCGATTGCTTTTATATTATAATTTACATTGCCATGCACGCTAAATTAACCCCTGCAGTGACATGTCCACATACGACACTTTGAAGGAACCAAATTGAACTAAAATTATATGCTCAAAAACCCCCCCAAAAAAACCCAACAAACGTAAGGATTTACTTATTTCTTTTTTTTTTTTTTTTTATTCTTTATTTTCTGTTGTGCATGGTTTAACAGTAGGCTTACTCAGCCACAATGGCAGTCGTAAGCTTATAACAGGCATCATAAAAATAACGTGGCATATAATAGTCAGCACAGTTTTTAGGGTTTTGTTGTAGGGAATAGATTGCAGAATTTTTGTGATAACAACAGGCATAGTACAGTGTGGTAGCTTGGTAGTAGTGTGGTAGGGTACAAGAAAGTTGTCCCTCAGATTTCTGGTGTTAGCCTACAGGCAGGTGAGGTGTATATGTAAGAACCATAGCACCTATATTTAGATCCATATTGTACAGGCTGGAGATATGTAAGGAACAAGCTGTAACAGGCCGACATATCTTCGGTGATGTCAGGTGTTAGACTAGTGAGTGGGGAGGCTGACATGTAGGTGGATCAGCAGCGGTTCTAAGCTCTGTCGCTATGGTTAACCTATGCTTTAAGGTGACTTGTGTGCATTTTCAAGTTAGGTGAGTTAAGACACATAGCGCATCACCGGTTTGGTTCGTATACCATGGGTGCTTGTGTGTTGTGGTGGCTTGAGGCATTGTGGTGGTATGTCATGGGAATAAGGCTCCTTAACCCCAGAGTCTGGGGGGAGGTGGGGTGTTTTGCTGACCAGGTGTCTGATCTACAGCACAGCATCAAGCAGATAACGTAAGTGGCATAGAGATGTATAACTGGCATACAAGTTAGGCATAAACTTAAATACAAAAAAAAGAAGAAAGGAAAAACACACAAAAAAAAACAAGGGGGGAGGGGACATTGCATCAGTCAGTGTATTAGCCCTCCGATCGGTGCCTTCACGGGTTCCTGGTGATGAACGGTTGATTCACCACCTTAAGAATCGGGTAGGTGCATGATGCTGCTTCCTGCTGGGGCCGTCTGTCCCGATGGGGTGAATGGTGTTATGTTGGCTATATCCCACCGGTGTGGTGTTTTCGTCTTGGCACCTTCTGTGGGGCGAATACCCAGTGCTTGTAAGATTTGTGGTGCTTCTGCCGGTGTTGTTAGTTGGTGGTTTTGACCTTCATGTGTGGCGATGAGCATTTGGGGGTGGCCCCATCTATATTGTATGTCCGCTGCTCTCAGTTGTGTTGTGATTACTTTAATGGAGGCCCGCCACTGCAATGTTTGGCGACTCGGGTCTTGGAAGAAGTGTAAGGTCAGATTCTCAAACGTGTACGGGGTCTGGCCCCTGACAGCACGGAGGAATCCCTCTTTGTCTGAGCGGGATTTAAAGCACATGATGACATCCCTTGCAGTGTCTGGGATCCCCCTCACTTTTATATTTCTTTGTCTCGCCATATCTTCAAGCTGCCCCACTCGAGCATTGAGTTGTGAGCATGTGGTTACTAGCTCTTGTGTTTGCTTTGCCATGGCGTCGTGCTGGGCTCTCAAGTCCTGAATTACCTCTTCCGTGGCTTGGATGCGGCCTGTGAGCGTGTTCAGTTCCATCTTGAGGCCAGCTAATTCTGCCGTAAAGAAGGCCTTGAGGTCAGTCACCATACCTGACAAGTCTGCCTTAGTGGCCAGTGGTGGTTCTGATTGCCTTTTTGGAGCGGTTTGCTGCTTCCTGTGGGGTGTCTGGGTTGGCACATCGCTCATGTAGTCATCCTTTGAGGCGGAGAGTGACTCCATCCCCATCATTTGAAAGACGTCCACCATTTTGGGTGTGCAGGCCTGGGACAAGAGTTGCCCGATATCTTGGGTATGTCCCGTGGATGGCCCTCTGGGTTTCCGTGAGTGATTCTCCATGTTGCACTGGCTCCCCCTCCATCTTTCCCCGGCTTATGGCGGTAGATTTTGAGGGTTCTGAGGTTGTTTTGCCGTAGTGGTGTCGGAGCTCAGGATTCATGCGACTTGTCTGCTCGATAGCTAGCTCCGCCCCCAAGGATTTACTTATTTCTGATGCAAAGTAATTAGCACACAGTACAGGAGTGTCACTAGAATATTGTCTAATATTTCAGAATAGGGAACCAAGAGCTCAACATTAAAACTCACACCTTATAATATTTCTCTAGACACTACTGCTCCACGAAAATGGATTTTAGAAATGTATTAGTCCTAATAATGAATTTGTTTTCTTTGTATATTCTTGCATTCAAGTTTAAAAAAATAAATAAAATGTATACAGTGGAATAATTATTATATATATTTATATATATATATATATAATAATTATTCCACTGTATACATTTTATTTATATATATATATCTATATATCTATATATATATCTATATATCTATCTATATCTATATCTATATATATATATATATATATATATATATATATGTATATATATTGTGATAAGGTGAATGGGGTGGTCTGTGAGGGAGTCTATATCTCGACAAAATTGTTCAGAGAGGCATATGATTTTTAACCCCAGGGGGAGTATGTGTAGTTTGTGTTTTGCACAACACAACGCATTGTTTAGTTATGGGCCCCTGGGGTGGAGCATTTGGAGAGAAGGGTGGGCCAATGCTCCACTCCGCAGCTTAGTGGTTTTCTTGGAAGAATTAGATCCAGCCCAGGGTTTTGGACTGTCTCCAACCTACTGCTCAGCTGTAGGTAATCGGCTGCAGCAGTGGGAATAAAATCCCTCCCTGCTAGGCAGGTAAGAGAGAATGTTTATTTTCTCTGAAAGGCTGGAAGCAGCAGGCTGGCTAAATACTGGAGTGCTGAGAGTGGACAAAGACTCTAGGTTGGTGAAACCACTATTGTTTTGTTTAGTTTAACCCTGAGAGATAGGGGACCTAATGTCAGTTAGTGCTCAGACGAGCCAGGTTTTTGTTTATAGGGTTTTCTGTTACTTTTGTTTTCATTTAACTGCTGTATCCTGTGTGAATTTACAAATAAAGTGCCTGAAGTATTTGCAACTACAAGGACTGTGCATGTTTTTTGCCCTAGAGGACCGTGCTACCTGCAAACAAGGATCACAATATGGTGGAGAATGCGGGCATAGTAGCACAGTGAGGGTCTGTGGGTGTGCCAGTCATTTGGTAGTCTGCTTGAGGACCTTTATTTTTGCAGACCTGTTAAGCAAACAAGTAGCACCGTACCTTTAAGACTGTTACCTGCTTGGTGCCATAATGGAGGAGCTGGTGAAAGCTCTGGTACAGGCAACCGCTGTACAACAGGAAACAAATCGTCTACTGGTTACCCAGGTTGAGAACCTGAAGGAAGCCCAGCAGATGGATAGAGCTGCCCTTACTGAGGTGTTGCACAGAGTGATATTGCCATCTGCAGGGAGCCCCCCTGGTGAAAGGGGAACCCGTATCCGTGCCACAGACTTCCTGCATAAGATGACAGAGACAGATGACGTGGAGGCTTATCTCACCACTTTCGAGAGGGTTGCTGCCCGGGAAAGATGGCCACTGGGCCAGTGGGCGGGGCTTCTAGCTCCATGTCTGAGTGGGGAGTGCCAAAAAGCCTATGAAGACCTACCTTCTGACCAGGCCCAGGATTACAAGCAACTTAAAGCTGAAATTCTAAAGCGCATTGGCGTAACACCAGCCATTCGAGCCCAAAGGTTTCATAATTGGGCATACGATGTGAGTAAACCTACCAGAGCCCAGATGTATGGATTGCTCAGGCTCGCTCAGAAGTGGCTGGAGCCAGAGCGCAACCCTGCTACCAAGATAGTGGAAATGGTTGTGATGGACCATTTTCTCAGACACCTGCCAACAGGACTGCGACAATGGGTCTGCCAAGGGGACCCTCAGGATCCAGAAGCAATGATGTGCCTGATTGAGAGGTATTTGGTTGCCAAGGAGCCATACAGTATTGATCCTCATCAGAAGTCCCGACCGGCTAACAACCGGATAAGCGGGAAAGTGGGAAACAAAAGACAAAACTTTGTACCGAACCTTGAACCATATGACCGGGGTGGCAGAAGGTCCCCACCAGCTCCATTTCGGCTACAAGACCACGCT